TATTTTCGGGGAGGGCTTATTATTTTTGAGGGGCAGGAGACTGTGAGGATGGGCACCTCCTGGCTGCTGCTGTGTTGGCATACTTTCAGGGAGGTTTTTTTGGGGGGGAGGGGATTATTTTAGCACATGCGCTCAAAAGCCCGATTGGGCTAATTATCCCAGCAGGGCTTATTTTCGGGAAAACAGGGTATCAGTTAGCCTATTTTGGTCTGGATGCACAATAGCAATAACACTTAGACTTATATACTGCTTCACAGTGCTTTACAGCCCTCTCTAAGCGGTTTACAGAATCAGCATCTTGCCCCCAACAATCTGGATCCTCATTTTTACCGACATCATAAGCATGGAGAGCTGAGTCAACTTGAGCCTGGTGAGATTCGAACTGCCAAATTGCAGTCAGTCAGCAGAAGTAGCCTGCAGTATTGCAACAATTGTCCTTTTCCTGATCAGTCTATTATAATTACAAGGTTTGTGCAATGTACTTGAATGGCATGGTGGCCTATTGGTGAAGACATCTACCTCCCACTCAGAAGGTTGAAAGTTCAATCCTAGGCAGTAGCAGGAAGGGTATCTAGCCAGTAAACACTCAGCTCCATCCAGTCACCCCAACTCTACCGCCAAATTAATGGATTATAAAAAAGTATCAAAATGACAAAAGCAAAGTTGTACTTTTGGGGCACATATGTAACAGTATCTGTAGAATATGGGCCTGGCTCACATTGCAGTGCTGCTCTTCTCAATATGATTCTTGTTGCTTCTGCAGACACCACTGTTCTATTGCCCTTTAAAATTTATCAGTTTTGCAGCAAAGGATAGATGTTTTCAAATAATTATTGTTCCTTTAAAATCTGGTCAGTTTTCTAAAGAGCTCCATGGAGAAGCTCAAGGGTAATTTACTGTCAAATGTCTTTATTAGCTAGAAGATCTGGAAGTAACCGTAGCAGATCACATCCAAAGAGTTTTGAAGCCAAATTTTGGAGCAGCCTGGGAAGAAGTTGGTGATGAATTTGAAAAAGAAGAGACTTTCACATTGTCTACTGTTAAAACACTGGAAGGTAAGTAAACAAAAACATTAGTGCACAGCTCTTGATTCCTGTGCCTTAAAAAAGTTAATATTTTGGGATAATATTAACTAAACATTCCTATTCCATTTTAAGTGGAAATCTTTGAATTCTGATGCAAGCCATTCAGTCTGAAAAGAAGATGTACTAGTGGCAGGATGAAAAAATCTACAATGATAGTTCAGAATTCCATTGTCTGTTAATATGATTACAAAAGTAGGTGAATAGCAATTATTTTAGAACTTAATTATTCTAGGAACCACAGTGGAGATCTCAGTAATAGACTGTTTAAAAAATTATAGTAATTATAGACTGCTTGAAAAACTCCTAGCCCTTAGAAATGAATAAATGACTGTTTATGACAGGGGAAAAAATTGAACTTTGATATTGATGTTCATACAAATTGATCTTTAAAATACTTGCTGATTCCACCAAATTAATACAACGGAAGATGGTGAGACCCTAGCCTCCAAGACCTCACACTGAGGTTTCACTCTTTCCCAGGACTCAGATTGTATGAGTTATTGAAGTGGCCACAAGCGAAGTCACTTGGTCTCTGTACTTTACTTTTTGTTTCTTGGAGAAAATGACATCTACTTTCTCTGGGACTAGGGAACCTAAAGGAACAAAAAAAAAAAATCAGCTCCAATATTTTTATTTCCACAGAGGCAGTCGGTAACATTGTGAAATTCCTAGGAATGCAACCATGTGAGCGGTCAGATAAAGTCCCAGATAACAAGAACTCTCATACTTTATACCTGGCAGGTGAGTTTTTCTGTGCCCTCTCTGCTGATTTTAATGATCTTAATGTTTTTGGATGCTTGAATCAGTGTTGACACCTGGCGACTGCTGGACAAGTCCCTGCAGCTTTCTTGGCAAGATTTCAGAAGTGGGTTGCCATTGCCTTCTTCCCAAGGCTGAGCAAGAGTGACTAAGTCACCCACCTGGCTTTGTGTCTATGCCAGAACCAGAACTCATGGTCTCCCAGTTCTAGCTTGGTGCCTTTAAAACAAACTGACTCCTCTAATTGGTTTGTTAGTCCATTCTAAGTGTCTGAAAAGTGGTTTGCATATTAGCTTGCTGTAAATTCAGTCCTTTTTCTCAGTGAACTATACAGCCACATCCAGTCTATCTTGATAATATCAACTTAGCGCATGCTTTCACTACCTATTAGGGCAGATATTTCATGATGATAGTCCTACAGATGTGGAAGCAGTATCATAACTTTTCTTCAAGCTTTATTATTCTAATATATGTAGATATTTGTAAGAAATATGCTAGTGCCAGAAATCCCAGTGGAATGAGATCTTTATCAGTACACAATAACTAAAGTATTTCTATTAATCTATTCCCATTATTTGATTCATGAAAATAGTGAAGAGGATCCTTGGGTGGAGTTCATAGTTGCCCCAAATTCTGCAAGATGGTTTCCCCCTTCTTCACTATAATCCCATTTAGGAAAAGCTGAAGCAATAAATCACCACAAAGTCATCTAAGACACAATTCAGTTGTAAGATGATTTGCCCATTGACCAAAACACCGACAGTTTTCTAAATATTCTTAATGGTAATGTAGGTCGTCTTTTTTTTAAAGAACGCCTACTTTGGTAATTTACCTTAATTTCTTCAAGAGTGGAAATGTAATTCCAGCCATACATACTGATAAAAGTATTACTCTCTTTGATCTGCTACAGGTGTATTTCGAGGTGGTCATGACCTCTTGGTTCGTTCTCGCCTTGTCCTCACAGAAATTGTGACAATGCAAGTCACAGCTCGGAGTAAAGAAGAACTTCCCGTGGATATTGTCATGGGTTCTGTTGGCTAAGCTCATTTTCAGGCTGCCTGTTTCAGACCCCCAAGGCTGAAGGGAGAATTAGAGGTCTCTTTCTACTGCTCTGGACATTGGGAGAAATATTAGAACACTGGCATCAGTTCTTTCTCTAATTAGAAATGAAAGCTACTTGTGTAGGTTTATAACCACAAGAATGTTTCTGTGAAATAATGAATTGGTTATTTCTTCATGTTTGCCAGGCTACTTCAAAAGAACATACCAAGGTGCCTAATAACACTAAAGTATTTGACTGTAGCTCCTGTTCTGGTCACCATGTGTCAGATTCATTATGTGATTAGCCAGAGCCTTTACAACTGGGGCAATTGTTATATTTTATGACCTTTCTAAACCCTTACATATATATTATAAAATAAAAATATGGATTTTATGCCACCAATGCCGCTACTCTCAAGAATATGAAAATAAATACATTTTATCTCTTGCCCAAATGATATTGAAAAGACATTCACAGCACACAGGTCTAGTTGATTTGGTTGATTTATATCAAACTTGCCTTCATTTTCAAATTGTTGATATCATTTGTAGGCAGCCTGATTTGAAGAAGTGTTAGGGTGAAAATGAATCAGGAATATGAATTTCACAAGAAACGCAGGTAATCTAGAGAAGAAAACCAGAATGAAAAAATGCTGAAGCATCCTTTATTTCAAATCATGTCATTTTTATGTATTGATATTTAGAAAAGGGAATATTTAGGGAAATTGCTCATTTTCATATTGCTTCATGTTTCTAAAAGTCATTTGTTTCAGTAAAACAGCCTACATTGTTTTATGAATGGGCATCTATTACTGTGGTTGAGTTTGATTTTGTAAAGGCTGATACTGTGCTTTGTTCTATTCTGACTAGATTTTATACATAAATGTTGTGCCATATAATAAAGAATAAACGATGTTTAACATTCTTATAATTTGCATAGCTAATTATCAGAATTGTGATAAAATGAGGTTTATACTGCTAGATTTCAGTTTTTCATTTAGCAAAAATAGATTAGGATGAAGATATAAGATCATCCATTATGCTAATATACATTTAAAAAATTAATCCAGTTTCTCCAACCTGATATCCCTCAAAGGACTTTACAAATTTTGTACTAGATATAGAAATATAAGTTAAGAACCTTATATTTTGTTTATTGCAAGTTTAATGTTGAATGGATTATATACTCTGCAAACAAACCTAGAGTTTTTTTCAGACTGAAAATCTACTCATGGGTGTGCTGCAAAATTTAAATTTGAACTTTAAAAAAATAATATCTATCAGATTAACAAGATATGACTTGAGTCCAAATTTGCCCTACAATGTCTCTAATTCCAGAGAAAAGTAGGAAGAGGCAGAGAAATATATATAAATAGTGTAAAGGTTGAGAGACCATTTTACACAGGGATGAACAGATAATTCAATACTACAAAGAATATAGAGATCAACAGAGGTAAAGAAGAGATGCTTTTCATGTATGAATAACTATACAAAAAGACAACCCCCCTCCCCCCCACACACAAACAAATTGCTGATCGACATAAAGCTAGACGCAAATATTTTGGAAAGCAAGTTAAATGAGCTCTAAAAATATTGCTGAGCACAAAGTTGCAAGAGTTGATGAAATGCCAGCAGAACAGAAATCTCCAAACTTTTCATCTTATTGACCCTTTCATCACATTTCAGATTGTTCATCAACCCCTAAACATTTATTATGTGAAAATACAATATTTAGATAGTCCCACAACCCCTGGAATCAATATTCATTACTTTGGGGAACCCGAGTTTAAAATCTTACAAAATTATGTTGCTAATATATTGCTTGTAATTGGTAAGCAGATATGGAAACAGATGAGGTCAGAGAACTGAAAAAGTTCAAGCTGTAATCTAGTATCCAGTAAGGCAGTGTTGAAAAAGCTCCAGCTACCTCTATGTACTACAGAATTTGTATGGTAACCAGCAACAGTAAAAATGGAATTAATTAGTTCAAAATTAAGACAGAAGTATGACAAAGTTATATACTGTTAACCTGTCCTATTTAAATTAAATGCAGATATATAAAGAGAAATGCTAGACTAGAAAAAAAAATTACAAATGTTGAAAGAAATACTGTACATTACTAACAACCTGAGGTATGCAAATAATTCAATTTTGACTGCTGAGTACAAGAAAGATTTAAGTGCTGTTTTGTTGAAGGTGAAAGAAGAACCTTCAACAAAAGATTATTTAAGTCTTTCTTGCTTCCATAAACAGATTGATACCACTAGCACATCTGAGATTGCTAA